AACCAGCTTAAACAGTTCTACCAGGCAATGGCATTAAATAGGAAATTTATGTTATTCTTGGTTTGTCCTTTTTCTATTACACCTCCAGACTGATACTGAGTAGATATTCTAGGAAAGATGCTGAGTGAAACTACTTTTTCACTTGCGTGTTGGTGTTGGTGATCTATTGAGTTTTCCAGCATATTCAGTAAGTGAAGATAAGAGGTTCTTTTAACAATTCCTTTGAATCTGGATATCACTTTCCCTTAATTCTGGTTTTGGAAATTCAGTTTTTGCAAAGAAGGGGCTTTTGCCTGGAGGATAAAATCAAGACTTGCCTATTTCTTATTGTTTTTTCCTTATACTGTAGCAGTCAGTAACTAAACTTCAAAGCAGCTCCTGACTTGGATTTTCAAAATCTAACATGTAGTTTCTGGCTTTTGTCAAAGCAAAAATTGTCATTTTTTTGTTTAACATCAGTAAAAATATTTATGTGTTTTTTGGAAAAGAGATTGAAAGGAAGGTTCACTTTGGTACTTCCCAACTGTGTAGGCTTTTTAATTACAAAGGATGCAGTTCCTAAACTAGCCATTCCTGATTTTCCTGTTTTATGCTAGCCCAGTTATAGTCCTAGATTAGGCTACAGAAGAGATCCTTAGCAAGGAGTTGATTAGATGTATTTACTTGGAGTGTTTATTTTCCAGGATACAGGGGAACCTTCCAATTTTCTGAAATATCTTTTATTTTTAGACTGATTTTTTTTTTTTTTTCCAGATCCTTTCAGAGGAATAGCAAAAATTCCAGTTTTGTCAGTGAAAAATGACAAAATGAGGAGCTGTGAGATATGGTTTAGTGGCTTATGGTAGCAAGGGTAATGGGAGGACAGCTGGACTAGATGATCTTGTAGATCCTTTCCAATGCTGTGATTCTATGATTCTTCACCCCTTTCTTTCTCTTCTATGAAAATAAGTGGCAGCATTTATTTGGGAAGTAGTAGGTATTTTCACCCTAGGTTGAGCAGAGTATCTGTCACTGAGCTGTTGTTTTCACACATGATGTATAGCTGTTTCCTTGGCACTGTTAGAAGCTGCAAGGAAGAAGTTCTGAGCTCAGCAATCCTAGAAAAAGGATGTTTGCGCTGGGCAAGGTTTCAGATTTCTTATTAGAGCCAATCCTGAGTCAGACTGGGCCTTTGCAGCTGCTGCTGATTCTTTGGAAGCAGAGTGTGTATGACAGCACACTCTGAGAGTAACAACTCATGGCAATTTATGCAAGCTACAACGACTGGCCTTCTTTGAAATCTAGTATCTGCAGCCTGATTCCAGCACTGGAAAGGGCTGCCACCACTTGGGCTTATTCTCTGTGTCTTTGTGCTGTCACAGGCCCGTGACAAAAGTGAGCATCCTCTAGTTTTATGCTGATGTTGTGGGAAAGCAAGCCTGGATCCTGACAACTGCAGTTACAGCACTTCTCAGGGGTGAGGATTTCTTGGCAGTATAAAAAGAGCTTGTTGCACAACACTTCACTTGCCCAAGTACTGAGAAACTGGTTCTCCCATGTTCCACCTAGATTTCATGCACTGTATGAGGTGATGCCTTTCTATATGGCTATTGCTGTACGTAGGCCCTGTTCCTGGGTGGCAGAAAAGACAGCTGAAACATCTCTACCTATTTATTTGTCTCTACCACAGGAGGTACCAGTGGCGAATGCCTTTCACTTCACATGCATGCTGTGGGCACTTGAAGAGGTTACTGGTCTTCCTGACCTGTAAGATGTAATAAGCTGCCAAAAATAATTGGGTTTAAAACAAAACTAGACAGTATAGACAAAACAGTTGAAGTACATGCAAGTGCTTATGTCTGCTCTACTTGTAAGACACCACAACTATAGCCCATAGGGAAAACCATAGAGGAAAAAAAATACACAACATGAAAATTTTCTGATGGCACTGGAAATGCTCTGAAAATGTCTTTCTCTCTGCCATTCAATCTACTGCCTGGTGAACTGACATGGAGTATAGGATTCTTCAGAGAGAAATGTCTCTCTGCCACAGTTTTACCAGATGCCTGGTAATTAGGAGGGGGCATTAGCAAATGAAAATAGTTTTTTTTGTAACAGATAGCTTGCTAGAAACAAATGAACTGTGCGCCTTCTTTATTACCTATTCCCCATCCTCTGGCCTCTCATTTTCCATGTCTCACAGCCATTGTTAAGGGGTCAAATGATCAAGAAATTTAAATGGAAGCTCTCATAAGGTAGAGAAAGCTGATAATGGGAGTTAGCATCTGGGACAGTGGTTGCTGTAGACGTGATGAGTAAGGCACAAAGCAGGATTATTGGTATTGGTCATGCTGTGGGGTAGCTGAAATAACCTTTAGGGTGGAGAGGTTAGGATGATGATTAGTTATTAAAAGTGTAATTGAAAATCATGGAGGAATAGCCCCAGTACCTGAATAACCTCTATTACAGAAATGGGAATCTCCAGAACTGTCCAGGGAATGACCTGACTTGCTGTAGTGAAAACAGTGTAGGGTGAAAGTCTAGTTCAAGAATAATGAAGCATAGCAAGCTGTGCAAACAGATGTAGAATCTCATCAATGGTTTTCTAAGAATTTCTTGAACAGCCATCAACAGGGATGGTCTAATCTGCTGTGCACCAGGCAGAACCTGTTTGAAATACAGGGTTTTACACGAGAGAGAGTTTCAGAGAACCCACTTTTCTGTGACTCTAGTTGGAGTTTCTGAGCAAGGATTTCTATGGACATCTGTGGGTTCTGGGTCGGACCCCAAATTCCAGAATTTCCTTGGATATTAAAGTTAAGGACGTGCTTATGAGCTTTAAATGAAGGTGTATTAACTAATACATGACCTGTGAAGGTAGTTGCCTTACTATATGACTGTGTGTGAAAGGAAGGCATGAATTGCTTAGATACCAACAATCCAGTTTTGAAATGCATATTTCTGGGTCCTTGTAGGGTTCGAGTGTTCTGGGTGCATATTTAGTCACAGCCCACCTTCTGCAGTCCAATTGTTAGTGCTCTTTCCACTGTGTTTTAATAGTGGCCAATTTAACTTACAGTTACAGTTTGTGATAACTTGCAATGAACTTGCAATGCAGTCTAGTTTAAAAACACAGATACATAAAGGAGCACAGTGAAGTAATGAATGTCTCCCCTGGTCTTTTAGGGGAGCATGTCTGCAAGCTTTTCTGCCTGACATAAAATGTCATGTTTCAAAGCTCTGTTTCATTATCATGGCGCCTGCTAGCCGTAATTAAGGGTCTGTTAGCAGCCCCATTATAAATCCTGACTTCCAGGAGTTTATAATTCAGCAGTAAAGAATTGCTCTAGGCTGAAACTTGGCTTATAAAGTCTCAGGGAAGGAACGACTGTGATTTCTTCATCCTTTGTTTTTGCGTTTGCTTATACACACAATCCATTCAGTAGATTTTACTGTCCCCTTTTGGCATTTAAAAAGACTAAATGGTTGAGTTATTAATATTTCAGTATTGACTACTGTTCATGGCCAGTAAGTTAATTTACAGTGCTTGTTAACCCAGCTCTGTTTGATGGGTACAAGTCACAGTTTCACAAACCTGCTGCAAGTCTTCTGATTAGTGGAAACAGCCCTTCGTGGATTGCAGCAATTACTCATTAGCTGTTGATTACAGTGGGTTTCAGGACTCTAAATCTGGGAAGCCTGTGCTGTGTGAATGCATGAAGCTGGGTGTCCTGATATTGCACAGGTGAAAGTTTACACGTGGCTGTAGGCAAACCTGGATTTGTGTTGTCCCTATTCAGTACTGGAGGCACATGAAAGGCCCTGAACCGCTATCTGTCCTCGGCCTGATTTATTTAGTCACTTGATCCTATGCAATGGGTCACTGAAAGCTCTTCCGATGGGAAGTTTGACACGATGAAGAGGCTTGGCTGGATTTCCCAGCCTGACTGTTTCTTCATTCAAACTATGATTTCATAAAATCAATTATTTCCCCTAAACAAACAAACAAACAAACAAAAAAAGAGGGAATGTTATCATGTTATTCAATGTTATTTCTCTTTGAAGTTATAGGAAGATTACTTTGGCCTTCCGTTTTTATTCTATTTTAGAATATTTTCATAGGATATATGTAAAAAAAAAAAGTTTGGACAAATTGTAAAGATCTTACAATTAAATAAGGGGAAACAAAAACGTCTACATTCATAATGTAGAATAGGAGGGTTGAAATTGAGGCTTTGAAAAGAGCAAAATTCTGGGGTTTAGTGAAACAATCTTCAAGAACAGATTTTTGACGTTTTGTTCTGATCCCTAAACAGGCTTATTGCACTCTGTAACTGCTATACTTGGTCCTGTGCATAGTGGTGTTTATAAATTGGGATCAAAATGCATATTACAAGTAGTACATCAAATAGCAGTAACTCAGCAGCAAAATACCTTCGCTAATGCAAGACTGAGTCACACTCTGGACTTTCTCCTTTTCTTCCTCCCATCCTCCTAGTCCCTTATATTAAATTGAGAAGAGTGGCCTAGAGGACATCAGTTCTCATTTGTGTCGCTTGTATCTTGTGTGATAGATTAGAAACAGTTATCTGGTCAAATCTTTTACAATATTAAATAACCTCATTTGAATGACAGAAATGAGACTGCAGATTTAAAACAAACAACCAAGAAAACAACAGAAGTACTGATCTCAACGATTCTATGTTCATTTCTACCAGCTAAAGATCTAAAGATTGAGATCTGTTTTCTCTTCCATTAGCACATAATCCCCCTGCATGCCTGCAGTAGCACTATGGAGTGCCTCTGCTGGACCAGCAGTGTGAGCACAACCTGTGCTGGTCAGGGAGCGCGTTCGTATGGGACCCAAGTTTCCTGTTTTATTTGCTTGTACCTTATCTGTAGGAAATGTCCTGCCAGCTGAGAGCCACTGCTTTTCACAAGGTTCAATATGTTTTGTTTCCTGCATTTTTTTTTTTTTAATACAAGGGGAATAATTTTTAACTATCTTTTCATTTGCTTAGCATGGCGCATATATTAAAGACGCTCAACAGCTGGTTCTGGTGGGAGAATATTTGGATGCCAATCAATTGCACATGGGCAGATTTCGTAGACCGCGATGGCCTCGTCTTTCCAAAGCCACAACAGTTGTATGCCACAATACCGTATGCTTTTGTATTGCTGATTATCCGGTTCTTCACTGAAAGGTAAGAAGCATGAATTCAATTTTGTGTTCTTGTTAGTTTTCAGTAATGCTAAAAAATAATTTGAGAACAAGATTCATTCTTATGTATGAAGGTTAGTTGGTAGTCTGTTAAAAATACCTACTGTCAAAACAGTGGAAGATGAAAAACTTAGAGATAGCTTCACTGCTAGGAATGCGATTGCAGCCCAATCTAGAAAGGTGTTCCTATACAGCTTTTCTAGAACAGCATTTGGATAACTCTAGTTATGCCCTTTGAATAGAGTTGCAAACTCTCCAGAAACGTTTTGGTTTCTTTTCTATTTTTCCTCCTTTGGTAGAAGCATAGTTACTGCTCCTTCGAACCAAACCTCTCCTTTTGGATCAGCACATGATGCTGATCAATCCCAGGTGCCCAAATGGAGCAACCTGAGGCAAACTTGAGGAATGAGTTTCTTCTTTTTTTTTCCCTAACAAGTTGTATTGCTTCTGCAACTGGAATTTTAATGGTACAAGCAGAAGTTGGTTCCATAGAAGAAAGCTACAAAAATGTTAAAATTTGTAGTGTTGTGACTTATTTGTGTAGCTTTACTTTTCTCTATAAAGAAAGTGATTAGTAGGTTTTTAATTATTTCAGGATAGAATGAGTAAACTTGGAATGTCATAAGTTGGACAGACTTGACACAGAGCCAGATAAAATCATTCATATTTGAGATCAAAAGTAATTTGGATCACATGTTTACAACCATTCATAGTGTCTCCTGAGTAAATGCTTGCCTGGCTGTCTCACTGAACTACTACTGAAAGTTGCTCATGTGAAAAATTAGCCCACGCATCTGGCATGCAGTGAATCTGCTCATGAATGAAGAGAACTGACCACTGCTGGAAGTAGCAGAGAATCAATTGCTGATATCAGTAGAGGCAAGGGGCTTTTCTCGGAAGAGCCTGCCCAAGCAGAAGGGCAAAGCAACTGGCATGCTCTGTAGCACCTTGAGGGCCAAGTGGAAGAGAAGGAGAAGCCCTCTGCTGCGTGCCACATGCTAGAGGCTGTGTGGAGAGTCTCGTTTCCTGGGCCGTGGCAGCCTATCACAGTATGTCAAGTGGCTCTCTGCCTCTAAGAGAGTATCCCAGAAGCAGTCTTCCAGCACAGCTCATATAAAGAAACCAGTTGTTCTTGTTTTGTGCACCCTTAACTATTGCAGAACTCAAAAAAAAAAAAAAAAATACAAGACAAAGTGTAGAGTTTTTCCTTTAGCTTTATATCTTTTCAGGACCACGAGCTTGAGTAATTGGATCTGCATTTTCAAGTAGCTGCTAATATGCTATTGTTCTCTCTTGGGATCAGTTAGTGAGTTTTTTTGTTTTTTTGTTTTTTTTTCTTTCTCATGGTGCATGGTCATATCCTATGGACAATTGAAATGCTTCAGAATTACTTCATTCATATCCTGGTGTGAGAACAGCTGAGGTCTTGTAACTGTGTTGCATTTTTTTAAGCTTTTCATTGCATGTTTTTTCAGATACGTTGCTATTCCTCTAGCAAAAGCCTTAGGTATAAAGAATGTGAGACGTGTGAAGCCGCAGCCTAATCCTGTTTTAGAGAGTTATTTCCGGGAGTGCTCAAGACATCCATCTCAAGTAAGAGCTTCTTTTGTACTAGTTTTGGTTCTTGGAAAATCACAGGCTTTACTGTTTCAATAAATGGTCAACAATGACATCATGGGATGAGTTCCGTCTGATTGACAGATGATTTAATTTATTTGGGTTTATGTTGCTGTTCTGCTGGCAAGGGTATATAGCATCCAAACTAGAAAATATGTTGAAGATGTTTAATTTTCTGGTATGTTAGACTCTAGGAAGTATTTCCAATGAAGATCAGTGCTTCATCATCTTTAGCTCTTTCTGCCTGGAGAAAACATCAGCTGATGTCTGTTGTTGGGGAGTGGTATCATATTTATTGCATGTATTGACATTGGGACTCTGGGATGGAAGCCCTTTGATCTGTTACTGCATACTTTGATATACTGCTGCATACTTAATCCTGGTTCATGAAAAAGAAATATCTATGCATTACCTTGCTGTCTATTTTCAAATTTAAACAAGTAAAAGATAAAAGCCAACACTTACCATCCTGAAATATGAAGCAACCTGATTGTTGATGAGATTGCTGTGATTGCAATCTCAAAGCTCATTTAATTGACTACAAATACAATGGCAGCTTTCCTACACTGGTTTTGGAAATAATTATTTACTCAGCTGATTATTAATACCTTAAACTTTGTTCTAACTCTGACTTTGCTTCACTTCCTATTTTTTTTTTTTGCCTCATATTGTGAGGAGTAGATGTATTCATGTTCACACGTGAGCTCTTCTCTATCTGGACAAGTGTCTTGATCTCTGCTTCATAACTTCCTTTTGCATGCGTGCAGTTTGCCAATTAATTTCTGAAGGGAAGCACAGCATTTGCATTTTTATATTTCTCAATGTACATAGAATTCAGGCTGCATCCTTTAGTTGTCTGGCTTAGGGACCAGTGTGTCTGAGAGTGCATGCAGAGGCCTGGCTGTCATCTGAGGACATCTAGGCTCCACTGTCTGTCAAAACAAAGTCAGTATTCCTGTGTGACGAGTGGAACATCCTTCTGAATAGAGAGCCTGTTTGCAGTGCTGCGCTCCCCAGCAGGCAAACTGTCCTTTGCTTACATACCAGAGCTTTTTTCCAAGGGAAGGAGACCAAGTGAACTTGACTTACCTTGGCAGAAAGTGATGCTACCACCCAGTATTTGCATGCTAGCCTCAGGGTGAATTGCTTCCCTAGGGGGGTGAGTTGAATGCTGCCTCCATGTCTGCAGCAGCTTCAGGGCAGGTCAGCCCACACCATTTTCATTTTAGGATGGAGGAGAGGGAGGGAGCCTACAAGCTGCACGTGGAGCTCCCGGCACCCAGAAGCACAGCAATCACATGGCCAACAGAATACAGCTCATTACCCCCAGCTCACCAGAGCAGGAGCTACAACCTTGTGCTTAGCACCTGACATGGCTGCACAGCGGAGCCACTTCAACCTTCAGAGTGCAGATAAAGCACAGACACTTGGAGGCCAATGAATTTTTAGGCAGTTGCTCAAGCATTAATTTATTTTTAGGCATTGAAAGAAGGCAGTCTGGATTTTGCTGGGTAAGATTAACTGACTTGCCCTGTTGCATAGCAGGACATCAGATTTGAGAACAGAGCCCAGATCGCTTTGATGCCATGTCTTACCTGAAGGACTCATTTAAATACAATCTGGCAATTATCCAATACATAACCTTATTACATACACTGATAACGTGCAGTGATGCATGACACTTCAGAAAGTTATCCTCAGCAAAACCTCTTGCTTAGCAGTAAAAGTTCATAGAATCATACAATTTCCCAAGCTTATAAATTATCAGAAGCCACCAGAAAAACAATAGCATGGTTTGTAGGCCTGTGCATTTTGTACCCACTTCAGTAATATAAATTAGTGTCCTGAAAATACAGTATTTCTGTGAATGTCATTCAAAAGTTAAATTGGGAAACTTATAAGTTAAAATGGCATGGATAGTTAATATTAGTAATATTTTTAAATGAAGATCTTACAGTGGCTGGAAAGCCAATCTGAGAAGTATAGAACCAGTGAAGATGACATCAGTGTAGGTTTTGTTGCTAACATTATTACATTTTTTTGCAGTCAGAGATTCAAGGCCTTGCCAAAAAGTGCAACTGCACAGTCCATCTGGTGGAAAAGTGGTTTAGGAGACGGCGAAACCTTGAGATCCCAACGGTGCTTCGGAAATTCCAGGAAGCTTTGTAAGAAGACACAACTCTTGTTATTGATTTGTGTGTTGGGGAAAAACAGTGATTGAGGTCCTCAGGTGCCTTCCTGGCAGGGGCTCATTTCCAGGAAGCTGGGTCTGTCTGATGAGGGTTTTGGTTTGTGTTTGTGCATTTACAAAGAAATCTAAAGGAGTTAGTAAGGTTTCTCCAGATTTGTAGCTTAAAAATATTAGATCAAAGATTCTAAAATATTGTAATTTTCTTCACCGTTTAAAAAGGGACTTATTTGTAGGTTACTGCTACATAATGCTTGATAAAAACATGTAGAGAGTAGGAAAGCATGTCTGTGTGTGCCCATAATCATAGGGAACTTATTCACTCTGCTTTAAATAAGCATCTATGCTGTCATCTTGGAATAATAGTGTCCTGATGTTGGTTCAGGAGCAGGAATTGTGGCATCCTAATGAAGCAGTAGGTGTCACAACTTGAACGCAAGGTACCATATGGAACATGAGCTCAAATATGTCAATGAAAGTGGGCTGTTGAGCAATTGAGTGGTAGTGATGAATATGGAAAAAGTTTCAAAACTTCCTTCTGCATCTAATTACAAACCAGCAGAGCATTGAGTCTGTTTTGTCAAAATCTGTGAGAAATTCCACATACGTAAACATGTTACTAATTATTCCAGTGTTATCCAAAATCTCATATGAATTGCAAGTCCCCAAGTGAGCAGCATAGCTTTGCTTACATAGCTCATTTTTCAATAGTGAAATTTACTGTACTAGTGTAAAGTACTTTCCTAATGTCCTGTCTACTTGGATTTTTAGCTGGTATAACTACTTTGGTAACAATTGACATGATCATAATATTTCACCTCTTTTAGTGTAGGTTAGCTTAAGGAATGAGGATTAAAAGCTCAGAGTTGAGTAGTTTATCAAGATTATTTTCAGTGTGAATCAATATGATAATGATTTGATGATCTCCTCTGGGCATAAATCTAGTTGTTAGGCATTTAGGTGCATTGCTCTGAAACCTAACTGAGCAAACTGTCTTGGCAAATGATATCCATGTCTGCTGCTGTTGTTCTGTGGCTGAGTTAACTGTCAAGTGACAATAAGATTTCTTACTATCAGTATAAGAGCTGCCTGCTGTGGGTCCATTCTTCTAGTTACACACAGCCAAAGACAAAAATTGAAACTTGCTCAGCAGCTTAAGTTAGAATGAAGCAAACAGGTTTTTCTTGTGCAATTCTGGAGACCTTGCTCTGCTCTTTGTGTCAGTGAATTTAATTGGATTTAATTTTCAAGGCAACAGAGAAGGAACAGAGCTATCCCATGTTGGTAGTCAGCGTTATGAGCATTATGGCACTTTTGAAAGCCTGCAATCTCCAGGATCATTTTGATGAATCACAAGGAAGATGTGATGAGCCAGATCTAAACTGTACTTAAGCTATTAGTGTTCCCAGTTAAGCAACACTGAGGTTTGGAAAGGTCTTTGTGTGAAACCTCCTTGCCTTAAAAGACTCGAGCCTTTAAATTCACCCACTACGTTATTTTTTGTTAGACTCCATTCAAGAGGAAAAAAAAAATCAAGAGAAAAGATTCCTGAAGTTAAATCAGAAAGATCCTTTTACATCACTGTTGTGCAGTTCAGAGTTTATAAGGCACATGCTGCATAAAATTTTGTGAATTTGGATGAATTTTACTTGGGGCTTTGTTAACAAAATTCATAAAGAAGCTTGGCTGAATGCAAAGTGAGGTAGGGCTCATCTGGCAGTCTTGTTCAGATGACGAGTTAATCTGAAGCACTCTGAGTATTTACTGCCAAGTGCTTTGGATATACATAGTTGTAGGGCTGGGGGCTAATGGTGCAGTCAGGAAGCTGCTGAAGCATTCGTACATATTACACTGAACACAGAATCTGTTCCATGTTTATTGGACTCCTCACACCTCTCTTGCTGGAAATATGAGGAGAAATAACAGCAGAATCAGCCCATGTGTAGTCAGTCATGTGCCACAGTATTTTTCCCAGTATCTCTCCTTTAACTCTGAGTGAGGTATTACTTATGAATTCCACCTTCCCCTTCCATTTGCTTTCCTAATTTCTGCTTTTTTTTTTTTTTTTTTTTGTGCAGTGGGTGTTATAAAGTGTTTTTTCCCTTCATAATCTTAGGAAAGATGCTTAAAAGTAGAAATGTACAGTGATCATTTATCACCAGCCTATCTTCTGGCACTTCTATAATTGCTTTTTGACTTCTGCAAGCATGATGCATATTGACTTAGCTGGCCTCTACTGTTCCATGTACTCATTTTCTTTATTTTTCTTCTGAAACATTGGCTCAGTCTTTGAACGTGTTGTTCTTTCACCTAGGACAGCCTCCAGGTAATGCAGGGCTCAGAAGAGAGGCTGCTTCTACCAGGCTCGTTGTTTCTCAAATGACACTTTGTTACCATTTGCCAAAGACCCCCAAAATCATCATTTTTATTTATCTCTCAATTCATTAGTGCCAACAATGAAAGCAGAGTTCTTGTCAAGGCTCTTTCTCCTTTTTAGCAACTCACTATTCTGGGAGGCTGTCTGCTGTTCTCCTTTGTTCTCTTGTTCTAGACAATGTTCTCACCAAGTTTGGGGTCGTGTGCCTTTCTCTGTGATTTTGACCTCTCCCAGCATGTGAAGTCCTGCAGCATTTTCCTGCTCATCTTGAAGACGCTCAGGGAAAGGTCAGGCTTGTTCCTGCAGAGCAGAAGAGGGCAAAGGAAGAAGTTTTCCATCACCTGTAGAGGTGGGAGTGGGAACGCTCCTACTGAGTCTCTCTAGCCACACCCAGTCCCAGGGACAGTACCTCCCACACAGGTTCCAGATTGGTTACAACACTGACTGCTGGCTCCAAATCACAGCATCCTGTTCTGACACACATAACAACACAGTTTCGGTTCACTAGGATACGCAGGAGCTTTTTACCCCTTTGCTGACTTACCAGATCAGTGATGAAAATCTGAAAGTTTTATGTTCTTTGATGGATTTAAACCACAAAAACCTTACACCAAACTTAAATGCTAGTCAGGGGTTGAGGTTTATGGCTAATTCAGATCTGTGAGGTAAATACAAACTTACCTGGTAGCTGTTGTTAAGTTCTATAGGGCTCCCCTGTTTTCAGCAACCAGTGTTTTGTTGCTCTTTTAACAACAACAAAATCAGACAATCTACTCAGCAATTGAAGCAAGTCACTGCTGACTTTGACAGTGTTGACAGCATTTGATCAGATTGGGAAGTACATGTTCTGTAGCTGAAACTTTTTCTAGTGGTAGGGAGCTATGAGATGTTCAGTCCAATGTGAATATTCTAGAGCAGAGATAGAGTATGTTTGATTACAGTAGGGTAATCAAACCTACGTTTGTAGGGAACTTATTACATTTGCTATGACTGTTATCTTGATCATGTTGTGCCTGGAGAACTACTGCCATGATCTACAAGCAAGGGATCTGTGTTATATAATGTAAACTCACTTTTTTTTTAGCCATTAATCAAAATATTTGAATGTTAATACTTAGCAACCCTGAAGGTAAAGTGTGAGGGTGCATTCATGTGTAAATTATCTGTAATGTACAATGACTTTCTAAAATCTATGGAAAAAAAAATTGATACTGTCTGTAAAACAAAAATGTTTTGTTTTGTTTTTTTCATTTCAATCTTGCAGCTGGAGATTTTCATTCTATTTTGCATCCTCCATTGCTGGATTTATATTTCTGTATGATGTAAGTATACTTTGTGAGTAGTTGATATTATATTTTAAAACAGGGACTGATCTCTAGATATTAATGGCACCCATTGAAGCTCATACACTGATTTTGGTGGTTGGTTGGGTTCAGAAGTTTAATGTATATGATCTGTGCAATAGGCTGCACTGAAGTTTTAATTGGGACTTTAATTTTTACTCATGAACTTATATGATTAACAGTAAAATAAAATAATGAGTAACCAGCATTGTTAAGGAAAGTTTACAACGTGCCTTCTTAACACCTAAAAATACATCACATGGCCATGTTTTCTCAAAGGAAGCAGTACAACTTTTCTGGCAGCTTTTTTTGGGGTCGTAGTGCATTTTATGGCTGTTTATTGTTGTGTTACTCCCAACTTCTGACTCAGCAGCAACAGAGAGACTGCTCATAGTGAGCACTGCCTGGGGTATAATTAATGCTTCTCCTGAGCAATTGAACAGTTCTCAGTGTGTCTATGTTCATCTGGCTCTCCTCCCTAAACAGTTTATCATCATGAACCAGTGCGTGTGGCTGGTAAATACATCAAAATGTAATAATTGTAGCAACAATCTTGAGTAATTGCAGAGATAAAACACACCCATTGCTTTGGATGATGAAATGATCAACTGGAATGTCTCAGGTGTCCTGAAAAGAAGCCAGAAAGCTGAAACTAATATGATAAACCTGAGATCTAAGCTCTCTTTAGAAATTGCTGGAGAACAATTATCAAGAATATACTTTCTTAGCCTGCTCCAATTAGAAAATGCTGAAGTATTGAGGATTTTTAGTTAAGATGATGACTTATTGCTTAGCTGATCAGTCTGAATCATCTGTCTTCCCCAGAAGCCTTGGTTGTATGACATATGGCAGACGTGGGTTGGCTATCCATTTCAGGTGAGCTTTTTGGCATTGGTCCATTGGCCTCAGGGTGTTCCAGGTATTTCCCCATTGGAAGGGATAATCTACAGAGGTGCTTCTCCCTCCCGGCAGGCATCACCTAGAGAGGGGTGGCACCAAACTCTTCTGCCACTTTTTTGGTACCTCCAGCTGACTCCTTCAGGACTTCACCATAATGTGCCTGTGCTGCACTGCAGCCCTCTGGCCCATTCCAGGCTACCAGTTGTCTACAGCAGTCCCTCAGTGTTTGAGGCTTCAGTGTGGAATCTTTGGCTTGCACCAGTCCTGATGATGCTTTGGGTCTGAGGCACTGCGGAGTAGCAGTATGCAGAGGGCTGCACCAAGCCTCCACCAAGTGTCTGCTGGGCACTGTTGCTTAGCAGCACAAGTGGAGGGGAGCCCTGCAGTGATGTGGTTTGGCAGAATGTGATGCCCTGCTCTGACAATCTGCTTGTTACTCTTTTTTTTTTTTTTTTTTTTTTTTTTCTTTTTCCCCTCCAAGTGTCACAAGGTTCTGCTTTCTTCCTGAAGTATTTTAGTCATGGTCCCCTAACAGATGGCTTCAAGCAAACTGCTGCCTTGCCCTCCTTTTAGAGGTTCTTGCATGCTGCTCCCTTCCTGTTTTGGTAAATCTGTGGCACATCACATCGCCACCTTCTTACTTGACTCCAAGCCAGGGGCCAAAAATAAAAAGAATCCTGCCTCCTAGCTGGGTTTTCCCAGCTCCTTTTACTTGTGGGACCTGATAAACCAGCTCACTCCCTGCCACCTGGGAAACACATTTAACCAAGTGAGAAGCCAAGCTCTTTCAGCATCCTAGCTCTCTTGTGCCCTATGTGGATACCTAGGATTTTAGTGTAAATAGATGACTTTTTAGACCCAAAGATGTGTGAATATCTAAAATGTTTGTTTGCCAAAATGGAGAGCTTTGTTTATTTGCAGTTGTTTGTAATTAAATGCAGAAGCACTCTATATTGAGTTCTCTGACAAAAGCACAGAAAAAAGCACGCTAAAATTGGGGGTTGGGAAGGAACTACAGAATCTTGGAGTTTGGTCTGAGTAAAGGTTAAAATATTTGGCTCCCAGAACGTTCTTCGTAATGAAGCCCAGAACATGGATTTAGTTTAATTTTTTTTTTTTTTTTTTTTTTTTTTTTAGACAGGACTCAGCAGAGGAGCACAAAAAAAAGTGAGGGGGGAAAAAAAGAATTTGGCATTCACTTTTGCTCTTCTCCAAGTTAACTGGTTTTGTTTTTTTAATAAAATTACTCTTTTATTTACAGACTATGCTGCCATCTCAATATTGGTACTACATGGCTGAGATTAGTTTCTACTGGTCTCTCTTATTTACACTTGGGATTGATACCAAAAGGAAGGCAAGTGGTCGTGATAAACAAGAAGTTGATAAAAGCACCGTCCTGATACTGGATTTGGTGCAGCCACATGAGGGCAGCATCAGCCTATCCCTGGCACACCTGCACCCTTCCCTGTTCTGGCTGTCAGGGTCCCTCTGTGTGTGTGATGTAGTATCCACATCCACAGAGAGACCCTCCGGAGCTGCACTTACGTGGCTCTACTTTTTGTTTTCACAGGATTTTTTGGCTCACGTCGTTCATCACTTTGCAGCCATTGGGTTGATGAGTTGCTCTTGGTGTGGCAATTACTTGCGTATTGGAACACTGGTGATGTTTGTGCATGATACTGCAGATTTCTGGCTTGAGGTAATGATGACCTTCTTCTTTAATTATTTTTTTCTTTTCTTTTTTTTTGTTATCACCCAGGTGATGTTCAGTGGTGTTTCAATCTTTGCCATCAGTTTCATATGCTCCCTCCCTATCCCTACAGAGATGTGGTTCTACAGTCATAAATTGTAAGATTAAAAAAAAAAAAAAAACTTCCTGATAATTTAAGGTGATATTCTGTTACAGAATCCATTATGAGAAAAAAGCATAAGAGAAGTTCTGCAAAACAGTACAAGGACTGGAAATGCCTCCCTGGCTTATTCTTGTTTCATTGTTAAAGTTAGACCAAGTTGGCTAGCCTGTGAACAGCTTGTCACGATAGCAGTTCTCAAGCAAATTTAGCAGCTAAAAGCTTGGCTACTTTTTCACGCTGTCTTAATTCTGTCAGCATTCACACCCCTGTGTTGACCCAAGGGCTATGTCTGCCTCATTCAGTTCTGGCTGGAGATACTCAAGCTGACTCTGAATGAGATACCACAGGTACTGGCAGAAGTGAAGTTTTTCCTTCTCTTGACTAAATATCAATGTTCAGAAATGTTTTAGGATTTCTCTGCACACAGTTCTGCAATGATGGAGACCTGCTGCTGGGTTTCTCAAAAGACAAATTTACTCTGTGGTTCCTTCAACAGCATTACTTCGGTTTTATAACACCAGGATTCAGAACATAGTTTCACAGCCTTTTTGGTGGTAGTGTCTGTGTTCTCCTGCAGGCTGTTGTCTCTCACTACTCATTTCTGCTCCTAATACACTTTTAGTTGTGTAGGAGCAACTAATTGTGGGGGTCACACATTTGGGGCTGGTCCCAATTAAATGCAGGCTTTTGCTGGGTTACTTCTAATCCTTAACTGTTGTTCAGTTGACTGCAAGGCCCTTAGAATGTTGAACCAACAATTGGAATAACAGCACTCAGATGCAAACTGAAGTTGTCTGACTCTCAAACAGTGTTTAAGCTGTAAGACTGAGGCTTGGCATTTGGAGCTTGTGTTCACTCCTGAGATCAGCTGTTTTGCTTGACAGTGCCCAGGGTGATTCCTCAATGAAACATGGGGAGTTGCACGTTTCAGCTAGGGGAGAAGCAGAAATTATGATCTTAACTAGTGAAATAAAAACTGAAGCTAGGACTTCCAGCCCTCAAAGAGGAGGGTAAGAGACAGAATGCATCCACCAGAATGCTGGTACAAAGGGTCACTGCTGCTCCTGAGTGTGTAGATAAGGCCAGCAGCTTTGCTTTGAAACTGGTGCAGTAGTGAGGGATGAACTTCTACTTTCAAGAGCACTTCATGTTTTCGTGATGCATCTACTTTCACATCTCAGAACTGTTTCTTCAGCTTTTTATACCAAATCCTTTCTTTTAATATTAAAGGAGAAATATAAACAAGAATCTGTTTTGTTGCTGCTTTATTAGGTATTAGTAAACTGATTGCTCTGTATGTCAAACAGGGAGGAAACCTTCCTGCTTAGGGAAAGATAAGTTCTTGTTTATTAAATGCAGAAGTGAACTTATTTCAGGGAATATTTGTAATACCTTTGTTTCATGTTCAATACAGGCAGCCAAAATGTTTAATTATGCTCGCTGGGAGAAAACCTGCAATATGCTTTTTTTCATCTTTTCTATCGCATTCTTCATCACAAGAATCATCCTGTTCCCCTTCTGGTAAGCAATATTTAACATAGTCATGACCTTTTATTTCATCCTTGTTTCCATTGAGAGGTTAGTAGTGGTTGTGATGGGTAAAGAAGAGCAGTAGGTTGTACCTTGAAGCGAAGAAGCTGGGCTTCTTCATTATTGTTTACTTCAGTGCCCATAATTTTATTTAGCATTTTAGTAAAAATACATATAGTTTAGTAAAAAAAAAAAAAAATTAAAAAAAATCAGGCACTTGAAAACATGCAACTCAAAGGGTTAAATCTATTATTTAACTTCATTTCATAGTTAGTAGTTAAATGCTATGAGGTCCTGTGTCTTTGAGGGGGGTGAGCTACTTCACAAAGAGATGCTACTGTCTTTCATTCCTATTCTCCCGCTGGAGCTGCAAAGTCAGAGGACAGTCTGTCCCCTATAAGTGCAGTTACTTTTTCTTCTAGTGTCTTCTTTTCAGTTCCCAGTTCTTGGGAGGTACGTTGCATCACTCCCCTACATTGGAAGCACTCAAAAGTTAAGGTGAACCCATGAATTTACAAAGTCAGTGCACGTGAATCATAACTTGCTGAATTCTCACATGAATTTGGAGTTCTATGATTTAATCTGCTTTGGAGTATCCACACGTGTGCTTAGTGTGCTTAATGCTTAACATCTTTAGCTTTTAAAAAATGTTTAATGTGTTTCACATCCAGGGTTTCACTGATTCGCTCTGGATTACTTTCATACCCCTCCCTGCATGTGGACAAACCCTCAGAGACGCAAGCTGGTTAAATTAGTAGTTCTGAACACTGATCAGCACAAGGTTTTAATTTCCTGTAGTATTCTTTTTTAAAAAGACATCAGCGTTTCTGCTTTCTTGTTATTTTTTGATTAACTGCACAAGTGATCTCCAATCATTTTGCTTCACTGAGCTTCTTGTTCTTGAGCTTGGAAGCAAAACATGATGAGATTAAAAGGACTTGAAAAGCCCAAAATAATATGGAAGAATTGAAACCTCAAGATGGACAAAACACGTGTTAATTAACAAAGAGCCCTGTTGCAAAACCTGCAGGATTTTCTCTGAATGTGGATTTTAGATTAGGGAGAATTTGAATGAAAAACGGCACAGTCTAGCTCTGTGCTGCATGTTATCTAGACCACACAGAGCCCAAGATTAAAAAATATATTTCTATCTCTATTTAGAATACTTTCATGCAAGACTCAAGTTTCTTATCTTGTAAAGTCTGCATTTAGGTAGAGATACGTAATATAGGTAAGGCACAGCTTGTTAATTCATCTGTCATCTTTGCAGAGCTTTTTAATATTTTTATGGGAAGAGTTAATCAGTTTGGAATGTGAAAGTAGAAATTGCTTTAAAAAGCATAAAAACGGAGCCCTGCATCATAACAGTGACCTTTGTTTTCTCAGGATTCTGCGTGCCACGTTGTATCAACCTACATTCTACTCCACCACTCCAGTCATAGCATATTTCTTATTCAATGGGCTGCTATTGACCCTTCAAGGCTTACATTTATATTGGGGTTACTTGATCTTCAAGATTTTGAAAAGGTTCATTTTCTTAAAGGTAAGCAATGTTGCCTCACAGAAAGATATGTGAAATATCAAACTTACATTAGCACCTTCAATAGATTTACTTGACATTTCTTACTGTCTTCCTGAATTTCCATGTCAGCGTTCTTGTTAGGGATCTACTAAGTATAGAGATGTTGAGATGTGCTTTCTGCCTTTCAAGTTCACATTTAAGGTCACAGATCAGAATATGGAAACTTCAGGTGCAGTTTTTTTTGGTTTTGTTTTTTTTGGCCTGTGTCTGATATTTTGTTCTGATGGTCAATAAGTGAACTCTACCAAAATCTGGAGCCCAAAAATGGTGTAGAACTCTTTTAATTCCTGTTTTCAAAGTGGAAGTAATTTTTTTTTTTTTTTTTTTCTCCCTGGACTTTATAAGAACAGTAAAAAGAATTAAAGGTGAGTGCTGAGATCTTTATATCCAACAGAAAACTCATGGTTAAAGTGCTTCAGGCTTCTCTAAATCTGAGCTTGGTGATACTTAAACACTGTTTTTGGGCTTAAAAATCCATACAAAACTGATCCAATGTTATATTATGACATAATGAACTACAGTCCTATTCAGCCATGGCATACAAATAGATCAAGCTCAAAGGTTTTTTATTTTCAAAATGGCTTTTCAAAGAGACTTAATTTTGCTGAGGAAGCCTCAGCATATTCAGCAGAGTAATCTTGTGATTATCAAGACTAAAAACATTACTGAGCTAAGTCTACTTTTATCTGAATCAGCTAATGTTGTGAAGCATCTTAAACAAATAGGGATATTCCTTTCTACCCACATTATTCATCATTTCACCAGTAACTGAAACTATCCCGTATTTTACTTTCTGGAAATAACTAGTGGTGAACTCTGCACAAATGCAATTATACACAATTTTGCTGCCCGGGCACGGACCCTATCATTTCAATAACATCCTAACCCAAGCCTCTTTGAAGTTGATGGAAAGACTGCTGCTGATTTTAATAGTACTGGATGAAATTCTAAAATAACAGCCAATTACTCTGGCTATCACCAGAAACGAAAAAGAGCTGAATATCTTCATTCTCAGTCCAAGCTTATTCTGTTGTCTGAGTACTTCCATACCCTTAATTTGTTTATTAATTTCAACCAAATTGATAAGATACCCCTTAAAAAAAAAAACTAGTTGTTTTAAACAGCCTTTTTGAAAGGGAAAGTCCTTTGAGTTTTTTCTTTAGCTTTTCTGCTGATCTATTTGTAAGACACAACTGTGAAGTGCAAATTGTAGATCATGGTATTTTAGGTTTGGTCTTGCTTTGAAGAGGCCTGACTAAGTGATGAAATGCAGTGACCAATTCAGTGCAGGTAGGCCTGGTAATCCATTATGATTGTTCCCAGTGGTTGAGCTTTGCAGTATGCCAGATGGTGCTTTTTTATTCCTCAATTGGTGGTAGCTGGGACTGCTTTTTGTTTTGCCTTCCACTGAATTTTGATGATTTTGACAAGAGTCTGGATGAGAAGTTTCTTGACTGGATACTTTTGAAGGATGATTTTGTTGTTGCTCATTTTTTTTATTTGTACTTTATTTAAAATTGGCTTCTCAAGAAAGCTCAGGCAATCAAGTTAAATTTCTGCTTGATCCCACTGGCCAATCTCAGCCTCATCTGAGGGCATTCCTAGATTCATACAAGTCTTATGCAAATAATTGGATATTAAGGAGACCCACTGTCTTTCCTAGAAGAACATGGCACTTACAAGCTCTACCCTTGTTAGAGAGCAAACCAGTGAACGTCAAGGAAAAATCTGTACAAGGAACATCTTGCTTGGTTCTGCTTTTAAAACATGTTTTGTTTCCGTAGTTATTTATGGTCAGGCTCATGGAGTGTTAGTGTTTTACTTGTCATTTCTTTTTTGACTGTGACCTTGTCTCTGCACTGAGCTGCAGTTTGTCCTTCATATTTCACTGTAGTTTGGCAGAATTTTGACATTATTCTGACTTTTGTCGGAATACCTGTTAGGATTTGACAAAACTAGCCACATTGACCAACACATCCTGTCTGCCTTTAATACTGTCTTCAATATCATAATCTCTAAAAACACAGTTTTGTTGAGAAATAAACATCTAAAGAAGGAAGGTAGAGAGGAAAAAGGATAAGAAATGTTTAGCCATTAGAACTGAGGATGTTTGCAGAATAGAGAAGTTTGTACTGGTTGTGAAAAGTATGGGTATGGTAGTCCCACAAGAAGTGCACATGAGGCTACTGGAGAATTTGCTAATGAAAGCAGTGTGGCTGAAACAGTACAGAAAGAAACAGAAAACAAATTCCATGTGAATCCATGTTAAATTGTAGATGTTTGGTAACATTTTCAAAGCATTTCTGAGAAGTCAAACTTAGGAGTAAGTGGATTGATAACCTGAAATAACATGAAATTAGAAGTGGTTTGTGTTCCATATACAGCATTCTTTGTATGCTGAGCCTGAAATAAGGGTGAGCCTTCTCACACAGCTCTTGTAATAAAAACAGGGGAGCTTCCTCTGCTTTGCAGCCGAGGAAGAGAAGGGCTTTGGCATAGTATTTCATCCATGCTGATTGAGGTTTTGTGAGTGCACTGCAAAAAGTCTTTGGATACCATGGTTAAGGAGAAGTTACTAGAGCAGCCTATATAAGGCCATCCTGCCATGCATGCTTATATGCCTTTGTAAGGGGCAGAAATGCTTTATTTTGAGAGAAGACAGTTTTTGTATTAGTCATTGCAAAAAAATGGAAAAGCACCAAGCCGGCATTTCTACCATGGATTTTTCATTCCTTATACAGCTCTCTGAGAAGATGGTTTCCAAATAACATTTTTACAGTGGCAGCAGCAGCAGGCCTAGCCCTTTTCAGTCTGCATGACTTCAGCTGGCTTGCATGTGCAGCCTGTTTTCCATAGCGGTGGCAAACTTGGCTGTGAAAGCAGGCAGTGCCTCCAAAACTGTAAAGACAACTTGGAAAAGAATGGTGTTTGTAAGGCTGCATTTTTATACCAACGCATTTGTCACAGGCGTACTCCACGCAAATAGCTGTTGCTATTTTAGTGAAATAGCAGCAAACCATTATACTTGTGTTAGGAGGGTTTTGTTTCTCTGCCCAAGACTTCTGAGCCCATTCAGAAGATAGGCAATTCTTAATGTTTTTCACGAAGCAAGTTAGCTACTTTAGGTGGAAAAATGAAGTCATGTTGTAAGTGGGGATAGGGACTGATGTATAGCTGTGGGAGCCTCAAAGAAGCTCAGAGCACACCAAGGGAGTCAGGATTTTATCAGTGTCCTCCATGCTTTGAGCCGCCCCTCGTTCACGCGCTCAGCAGTGACCAGCACTGCAGTGCAGCAGTTTACGTGGCCTGGCATCCTTCCAAGGGGCAGGTGTCTCCTGGTGGCATCCTGGCCCACGTCAGCAGCCTGTCTGAAAGTCAGCAGTCTGCAGTGCATTTGCTTTGAATGGACAGTGCTGTTGTCTGCTGTCAAAGCACAGGTTAGAGGACCTGCTTGGGTCGCACGTGAATCTGGATTGACAGAAGCTCTTAATCTCAGCTGCCACCTCCTCTGCCCTGATAAAGGGGACAATCTCCATCTCTCTGGGATAACTACTCAGCTGACTTGTTTCACATAGAAGAACTTGGCTAGAAGTCCTGCGATGTTCCTCCTTGTAAACACCGCAGCCAGAGATGAATGAACATGAGAAAAAAGGAAAGATGGGTGCAGGGTTCTGCCCCTCTGTGTCCTGCTGACTCAGGCACGGCAGTCAGCAGCAGCTGAGCTGGTGGTGCAGAACAGCACTGCTCTGAACCTCATTGCCCAGGAATGCCCTAGCAAGTGGGAAATCCATGGTGGCAAACTAAGCTGTGCTCAGCGACTTTGCGTTAGGAAGCTCTTTGTTTCTATGGAGTTAAACCTGAGGGAACATGAGAATTGAATTTTTCAAATCAAAGGTTGTTCTTACACTGGAAAACAACAAAAAAAGTAACAATAATACGTTAAAGGACATTTGGGTTCATATTATGGTAGAACATTTTATGAGCCCATTTATAAGAGAGACATAGGCACGAAAGCCGTTCGAGGTAAGACCTGCAGCCATTTATCTTAGATCAGTTCTGCAGTGGGAGAAAGAAGCCGTTTTTCAGTGTGGTTTCGTTTCAAGTTAGGTCAGGCAATCGCAATGCTGGCTGCCATCTTGGTGTCCAAGGCCTTTTGTTGCTAGGAAACTCTGTGTGTTTCTGTAATATTGTTCAATTACATGGTTAAATTACCCACTTGTATCAGGTTTCACGAACCACTGAAACATGTCTAGTCATCATGTCTGCACATATGAGAATATTTTAGGAAAATTGAAAAAACATATAGAGAAGTATGTACATGTGCACTGATTTAAAATATCTCGCCAGGAAAATCCCATGGAGATTAAACGTTTTATTTCCAAGGTCAGAAAAAGGGAGCGAGTGACAGCAGCTTATAGCCACATTATTATGGCAAATTAAGACGTAAAATATATGTTAAAACCATTACAAATTGAGTTTAAGGTTTTGAGACTACGGTGTTTTAAATCTTGAAAATATGTGTAAGTTGTAGGAAGTGGGCATGGTGTCTGCATGACTCAGATGCTTCGGGGCTGATGCAAAGTCCATCAATGGCAAAAGGTAACAGTAGGCTTTTTACAGACTGCAATGTTACCAGCAAGGTATTTTCTTACTCTTTCGTTGTTGTTAGACTGTCCTAAATTAAGGCAAAGAGCTTCTTAATAATTCAGCTTTGGTTTGTTCTTCTTTCTAAAGAAGAAAAGACCCATGAGATCCTGCACTGCTGTAGACCAGGTTTTTATGGACTTGTTGCTTTCTCAAAGAAAAACTTCAGTATTCCTTTGTTTTGCAATCATTACAAAGGGTTTTTAAGGCTTTTTGGTTGGACATATTCTTGTCCATGATGTATTCATTTCTTACTCAGTCCAACTTCCCAAGGGAACTGTGAGTGTTAATGTTTGAAGAATGGTGCATGGCAGTCT